GAACTCGAGGCGCCAAAGCGAAGGGGTCCCTCCCAACTCCATTTCAATCCTCATTCTTGCACATTCTAACCACAGTTTTCGTTTCTCTCCCGCCAAGCTGCTTCAGCCATGGCGGAATTCTCAGGCACCCATTTCCTCTTCAAGAACAAGCCTAGGAAAGCCCGCGTTTACCGTTAGCGCTGACGGGTGGTACAGCCGTGTCGCACCTGATCCCCCCGAACCTCCACAGCCTCCTGCGCCTCCTATCCCCCCTGCTCCTCCTGCTCCTCCGTCACCTCCCGCGCCTCCTGCTCCTCCGAATCCTCCTCCTCTGGAAACCTTAGGCAACCTGCCCGTGCTCCGGCTTTGCCCGTATCTCCCTCGGATGTTCACCGAATGGCTGGAAGAGCCTGTCAGAGACAAGCCTGAAGTTGAATCCGCGTCGGCACCACGCTGGGGCGAGCCCGGAAACTGCGCGTGGGATGAATCTGCTGTGGGCGCTGACGACGAAGTGGAAACCGAGGGCGCGGAGGGCGACAAGGCCGGCGGGGCGGACAACGAGGTTAACATGCGTAGTTCCTTTGATTGCGTGCGCAGATGTGGTGGTGGGGTGCCAAGACAACGGCTGGATGGACGCTGATGCCGTCGCGAAGTGGCTTGACGGGTGTATCAAGCCTTTCATGAAGCCCCGGTTCGGCAGGCAGGCGAAGAGCGCGATGCTCGTTCTGGATTCTTACCGGGGGCATCTCACGGACGAGGTGAAGAAGAAGTTTGCCGAGCTCAACATCGTCCCGGCTATCATCCCAGGAGGCTGTACGGCGGAGGTACAGCCGCTCGACGTCTCGGTCAACAAGAGTTTCAAAGCCTCCGTCCGCCAGGAGTACCAGAGCTGGTTTGAGGAAGAAGGCTTGGAGAGGCTGACCCCCGCAGGTATGCTTTGGCCTTGTTGTTTAACGTCTAACAGTTTTGTCCTCACCCTTTGTTGTTCTAATCACCCCCGTGAGTGCCATGTGGTGCAGGGAATCTTAAGAAGCCGCCAGCAGAGGTGGTTTTCAGGTGGATCTCCAGGGCCTAGAAGGCAGTCCTCGCCGAACTTATCAAGAAGGCGTTTCTAACATGCGACATCAGCAACGCACTAGACGGGAGCGAGGAGAATCTCACTATGGCGCACAGGAGGAGCCAGCTCACGCACGAAGTGGACGTGGACGACGACATCACGGCCGACGGATTCTGGGGCAACAACTGCCCGGACCCTGAGTCAGACGAAGAGGAGGAGACGTGCTAGGGGCTGTAAAGCCGTGCAGTAGCTTGAATAGGTAGTGATTGTATGCTCAGACCGTGCTAGTGTAATCATTAGAACATTATGTTGTCTTTGCGAGTACAAGCTAGATGAATTGTGGTTAGATAAAACTAAAAAAATAATTAAAAAAACAAAACCGAACAAGGAGGCGCTTATAATAAGTACACGTTTCAAAAGGGGTGCGCTTCTAATCGAGTCGCGTCTATAAGCGCCTGCTCCAGATAGAAGCGCCGGCGCCTTTAAACGGACGGCGCTTATATCCGGGTCTATATGGTATCGGAACGAATCACACGCGAGCCGCGTCCTCGCTGTGAAATGCATCGCCAACACCATCGAATTTGGCTACAGTAAACTAACCGACACTAAAATAAAACCGTCAAACCTTTTTTTACAATACTGAAAGTTGCACTCCTTTATAGAGCTTTAACTTTTGATAAACACTAAACATAATCCTGATTTTTATATCATTTCGCAAGAATGATTCCATCATGCATAGCAGGTATAAATTCACTTTCTATATTTCATCCATTTGCAATAGTTATCAGTTCCAATATTCAATCTGCACATTTGAAGTACAACATTGCAGAACAATATTACTATTTTAACTCTTTCTAACATGCAAACAACGTCCGCCCTACACACAGCCCGTTATAAAAACTATTGACCCTCACTTGGGAGAGCTCCCGCACAAACCTCACTACCCATGTTTAATGATGTGCTCCTGCAACACACGAGACGACAAAAACAAGAACAAAACAGATAGCATGTTCTTACCTCACGAATACGTGATACAGTGTGACAAGATCGCCTTCCGTATTCTGGAGCAAGTGGCGACATTCAGTCAGGAAGAGGGTGGGGTAAGAGTGAGGAATGCGTAGTTAAAAAAATTATGCGACAAAGCCAATGCAAAGGAATGAAACAAATCCTGTGACAGGAAGAATGCATGAGGAAACCTGGCTGCTGATAAAGAAACGGTGACAATGAAAGCCATGAAGCAAACGGAATGAGCGGCGCTCTTCCTGCAACCCCACCGTGCAGCATTTTAGCTTATCTCACGACGACCACTAGGAGCTTCACTGAACAACAATTCTTAGGTCGATATGCGTCAACGTCGAAAAAACACGCTTCGCTTCTCGTGTTCGATAATCTGCCATGAAGAACCGATCATGAAATAACAGAGATTAGATGCATGTCATTCAAACAGCGGCAACATATAAAATACTATGACGTCGCTGGTGGAAAAGAGACGGGTCCTAATTCCTAAACTTAAACGCGAAACCTAACCACCATTAGAATCTCACCAGAGCTAATCGCGACTAAGTAAGCGGCCTGGAGCTCTCGTAGTAGCTGCTCTACGTGAGTATCAGGAGCTGAAAACGACCTTAGGAATGACGAGTGGATAACAGGATGGATAAGAATAAGTACTCGAAAGGTGCTGGGAGAGGAGAGGCAGTAGCAGGTGGTGTCGAAGAGATCCGATTGGTTGGTAAACTAAATTGTGCCACGTAACCTAACCCATCACTGTACCTACGATGTATTGAGCGATGACATAGTAAACTGAGAATCAGAGAAGAAACAACCATAATTTATCAATTCGACATCACGAGAAACGAAGTGTACAGTTGAAGAATGCCGTACCATTCCCGTACGTGGCTGCCTTGGCAGAAACAGAGTAGCGACAAAATAGGCAGGGCCATGAACTTTCCCGCCAGAGTTGGGGTAACCTCGGGGTACCCTCCCGAACTGTAAACCTTTCTGATTGGTTCAATTTTCTATTACACGTTCGGAGCTAAGGTTGGCGGTCGTCGCTGACGTCGCTAGTGTCTGGGGGTAGGCTGTAGGTAAGTCATAGGGAACTCGTGGGTCAACCCGTGATGGTGACTCTGGGGTCACCATCATTTTCAAAGTGATTTCGGCATTTCAAATTTTGGGATGCAGCGGCGCGCAGCAGCTGGGATCGCATCAGCAGGTGCATTCGCAGAATCAGCAGTAGCAGCAACGTGCAGCAGCAGGGGTGATAGGAGAAGCGGCAGCGGGATGTGCGCATAAAGCACCGGAGCGCGCTAGCAACAGCGGCGCGCAGCAGCTGGGATTCTATCAGCAGGTGCATTCGCAGCATCAGCAGTAGCAGCAACGCGCATCAGTAGGGGTGTTAGGAGCAGCGGCAGCGGGATGTGCGCATAAAGCACCGGAGCGCGCTAGCAACAGCGGCGCGCAGCAGCTGGGATCGCATCAGCAGGTGCATTCGCAGCATCAGCAGTAGCAGCAACGCGCATCAGTGGGGGCGTTAGGTGCAGCGGCAATAGCAGGTGCTTCATAAGTCTTCTGGGCCTAGCGTAAGCAGCTGCGCATAGCAGCAGCAGATGTGTTCGGTGCATCGGCATCAGCAGCGCATCGCAGCAGCAGCGGCATCGGCATGTACGTGTGTTGCATCGGGCGCACATTAGCAGCATGTGCGTTCGGCATTTGAGCATGAAGGATCAGAGCACGTTGCACGAACAGCAGGAACAGGATCGTTTGCAGGGTTGACAGCAGCAGGTGCTTTCGCAGCATTGGCAGCTGCAGCAAGTGCGCAGCTGCGGCAGTAGCAGCAGCATGAGTTCGCAGCAGCAGGCGCGTTCGCAGCAGCAGGCGCGTTCGCAGCAGCAAAGCGGTGGCAGCAGGCCGCAGTGGCGCGGTGCAGCAGGTAACTTCGCAGCATCAGGTTTAGCGGCATCTCGCAGCAGCAACATGGATCAACAAAGCCTCCCATTTGAGTGCGATCAGGAGGGCTGTGAAGCAAAATTTGCCTCTCAGCAACAGAAAGCGTCGCACATGAGCAGGGGCCAGCATACGTTTCACGATATTCAGGGTAGTGCAGCAGCTGGGGCTAGCACGGCGGGCATGGGCTATAGCATGCGTAGCTTTGTGGCCGCAGGTCAAGCTCTTGAGTGCAGAAGCCGAAAACGTAGGATTGTTACTCCATGCGAACTGAGGGAACGATTAGAGCCAGAAACGGATGCGGCGACCCCCAATGCAGACATGACTGGCTACGACCTTTCTCCAGCAGGCAACCCCTCTTTAGTTGACATGGATGGTAGGTACAAGTTCTGTAGGACAGCTGCAGGGGGTGCAGGTTTGTCCCGAGCTGACATCAAAGAACTGATTCAGATTTTGATAGAGGCCCTTGAGAATCCACGAAGTGTTAATCTTAGGAGTCTAGGGGATTTTGATAGGTTCGAGGAGAAACAAACTGCGGAGGCCCAGTTGGAGGGCTTTCAAACCACAAGCCTTGGGAAGCCAGGTGACCTGAAGCCTGTAGTTTTGTACTGGCGCTCAAGCATGTCATGTGTACGAGGGCTGTACCAGAACCGGGCCAATGCCGAGGGATTCGTGGTTCGAGCTCGAAGGTTCGGGAAAAAGCAGAGGTAGAAGATGCGCTGCCCTTGAATGCTCATGTTGCCGCTGTTATCCTTTACTCTGATCAGACAACTTTGACTACTGACGGCGGCGTGACTGGGTGGCCTGTATACATATCGCTCGCTAACATATCTTCCTCAAACAGATGGAAATCTCACGGCCGCCGTCTGGTCGCTCTCCTTCCTGTTATTGACGATCTGACCTTCAAAGGGGCTGACGACACGCGCAGGCGGAATGAAGTGTACCACGATGCACTGCGCATGATCTTGGAGGAACAAATGGACGTTCTAAGCAAGTGAGTGGTTCAAAATGACCCTTTCGCATGGCAAGTGAGTGCACCATCCTCCGTGCCCTCCTCTCTACCATCCTCCCTGCCTTCCTCTCTACCATCCTCCGTGCCCTCCTCTCTACCATCCTCCCTGCCTTCCTCTCTACCATCCTCCGTGCCCTCCTCTCTACCATCCTCCCTGCCTTCCTCTCTACCATCCTCCCTGCCCTCCTCTCTACCATCCTCCCTGCCTTCCTCTCTACCATCCTCCCTGCCCTCCTCTCTACCATCCTCCCTGCCCTCCTCTCTACCATCCTCCCTGCCCTCCTCTCTACAATCCTCCCTGCCCTCCTCTCTACCATCCTCCCTGCCTTCCTCTCTACCATCCTCCCTGCCCTCCTCTCTCTACCATCCTCCCTGCCCTCCTCTCTACCATCCTCCCTGCCCTCCTCTCTACCGTCCTCCCTGCCCTCCTCCCTGTCCTCCGCCCTGCTCTCATCCCTGCCGTCCCCCTGGCCCTCCCCTCCTCCGTCGATTTTCCCTGCCACCTCTCTGCATCGTCCCTGCATGGCCCCTGCGTTCCCCCTGCTGGGTATTTTGTATTTGGTTTCAACTTAGCCATTGTTTGACATTGACTATCTGATTCGTACCCTACACTACAAGGGGGAGAAGCTAACAGATCCTTACGGAATCGATCGTTGGGTCTACCCTGTCACCTATGCATATGTTGGGGACTACCCGGAGCAGTGCAAGGTGGCAGGTACCAAATCGGGGATCAAAACTGCTTTCCCTTGCCCAAAATGCAAAGTGCCAAATGGAAAGCTCGGTGACATGACTTACCCTATGCAATATCGAACGGAGATTGAACAGCAGAAGCTCGTCCGTGAAATGCAGCTAGCCCCAACCAGAAAAGCAGTAGAAGAATTGGAGATCAAGCACAGTACTCATTTTGTCAAGGTGGGTTTAGCCTAGCGTTTTCAACTTGCGGTGACCGTTATGGGGTGTACCTTGGTTAGTTCGTCCCTAACATGTCTTCTTCTTGACGATTGCAGAGCGCACTATGGGGATTTCGATTTGGTGAGACAAGCTTCGGCAACCCATATAGGCAACTGATGGTGGACATCATGCACATGTCCTCTTTGGGGGTCTACAAGCACATTGTAGAAAGCTTGAAGCAGCAGCTATCAAATGAAGATCTCAGAAAACTTGACATGGCGCTATCTACTGTCACCCAGTACAGTCGCCAATCTTTCTTCCGCCTTCCCGCGCATACTGACGGATACTTCAGTGGCAATGCCACGTTCTATGCCTTCCAGCACCAGGCCGTTATGCAGGTACTGCCCATCTTGATGTCAACCGTCAAGGACATGAACCCGGAGTGGGTGAGGACCGTGGAGTTGTATTGCTTGTGGCATACTCTCGCTTGGCATCGCGCCTACCACACTGAGACGTCCCTGAAGAATCTGCAAGACATGGCTCGTGTGCAAGTACTCCAGAACCGTGTACTTGCCCAGATTTGCTGTTTGATTCGATCGGTTGTTCATCGTGTTGTAGTCTTGTCATTAACCAGCAGGCAAGATTCGTGTAGGGTGGATAGGGAGCATCACTGTCACCCTGCACCTCCCTCCCTTACCCTCGCATTTCCCCTTTTACCTTCGCTGTCCAGTTTTCCTGCAGGTGGACCAGAGAGCATCACTGTCACCCTGCACTGCTCTTGATCTCACTGATTTCACTCTCACTGCTTTTGATTCCACTGATTTCTATCTCTCTGTTTTGAATCTCACGGATTTCACTCTCAGAGCTTTCGATCTCACATATTTCACTCTCACTGTTTTTGAGCTCACTTATTGCACTCATAGTTTTTTATCACACAGATTGCACTTTCCCTGCTCTTGATCTCACTGATTCAACTCTCCCTGCTCTTGATCTCACTGATTCAACTCTCCCTGCTCTTGACCTCACTGATTCATTGATCTCACTGATTCAACTCTCCCTGCTCTTGATCTCACTGATTCAACTCTCCCTGCTTCAACTTTCCCTGCTCTTGATCTCACTGATTCAAATCTCCCTGCTTCAACTCTCCCTGCTCTTGATCTCACTGATTCCACTCTCCCTGCTCTTGATCTCACTGATTCAACTCTCCCTGCTCTTGATCTCACTGATTCAACTCTCCCTGCTTCAACTCTCCCTGCTCTTGATCTCACCGATTCAACTCTCCCTGCTCTTGATCTCACTGATTCCACTCTCATGCACTGATGTCCCCACCACTGGTTTTGATCTTACTGATTTCACTCTCACTGCTTTATAACTCACCAATTTCACCATCACTGCTTTTGATCTCACTAATCTCACTCTCAATGCATTTGATCCCACTGATTTCGAATTCACTGAATCCACTCTCAGTTATCTCGATCTCTCTGATTTCAATCTCACTGATTTCAATCTCACTGATTTTCATCTCTCTGATTTCAATCTCACTGCTTTCAATCTCACTAATTTTCATCTATCTGATTCAAATCTCTCTGATCTCAATCTCACTGATTTCAATCTGTATGATTGCAAACTCTCTGATTTCAATCTCACTGTCACCCTGCACCTCCTTTCCCGTCACGTTTCCCCTTCCAACTCCTGCAGCTGAACTTCATGATTGGTGTGCGCGAGGGGTTATGTTTACTTCCCTAACCAGATTTACCCTCAAAGTCAGCTTCCATGTCCTTGCCGACCAGACCAGAAGCATGTGGGAAGTAGAGACGAAGGAGTTAGGAGGCACAGAGGAGGCAGGGGAGAATCTGGGATTACGGAGGGAGGACATAAACCCGCTGAAACTTTATTGATCTTCCTGCACCCCTCTCCCCCCGCCAACTCCCTGCTTGTACCTTGCAGCCAGATCTCATCCGAGGAGGCAAATGAGCATGTGTTGGTGTCAGGCTGGAAATTGTGGGCAGTCAGCAGGTCTTGTTGCTTGACGTCAATCAGAGGTTTCTGTTTTTTAATCCATCCGCCCATGTCTTACATTTTGTCACAACCATATGACTCCCGATCCAGGTTGGTCCCCCGCCTGGTGAAACACTTTGGCTCTCATCAGAAATCCGACTTCAACGTCCCAAAGGTGCATGCAATGCTCCATGTGGCCGATGACATTCGTCGTGCAGGTGTGCCGGTCCACTACTGTACTGATCTCTATGAGCATGTGCACATCTCCATCATGAAGCGACCATACCGTGCCTCAAATCATCATAATGCCGAAGCCTCAATCACCCGTCGCTGCTTGACAAACGAGCTTGTAGATTTCATGACGGCAACCGATGATAAAGTAGAAGACAAGGAGGCACGTAGTGTTGCAATGAAACAAGCTCTTGAGACAGGGTCCCCGGCTGTGACAGGCAAGGTTGCGAGGATAGATCCAACTGACCGACGTACAAGGTTGTGGAAGGAGTATGCCGACACAGTTCCGGGCGATTTTCAGCTGCTGAGGGAAGGCATTCTTGCATTTCAAAGGCAGCAGGAACACCCAGTAGGGTGTAAAGTGACCTGGTCACCCGTCATTGACATTCACCAAGGAATTGCAGTTCCTCCGGATGAGGATTTCACTAGATACAGCAAGTATCCTGCATATGCGCGGGCAGCTCCTGCCTTCCATGGACATCCTTGGTTTTCTGATGTCATGGTTGATGGAGTTGAGAGCACAGGGGAGTCCGTCGTGTGGCCAGCTAAGGTGTTTCTGATTTTCACTTTGCACAAGACATTTTCACTTTGCTCAACCACCCAGGACAAGTATTGATGCACGGACAGGTGACGAGTACACGCGAGAGGAGAAAATGGCGGAACAAGTAGCGTTCGTGCGCTACTATAAGGCTCTTCCGAGCTCAAACACTGTCGACCTAACAACACTGAAGTGGTGGCCTGGTAACCAGGGATACGGGGTGGTACATGTGGGCAGCATATTCAGAGTTCTTCACGTGTTTCCTCGTGAGGCAGATCTTAAAGGCCCTGGTGCTAGGTTTTTGTGGAACGAGTTGAAATGGCAGGCCCTGGTTAGTTAAACAACCATGTATGTTTGGTAGCACTCTTCTTTGAAACCATAGGTATGTGCGGCCTGGTCAGAAATTTTACGTTATTCATCCGGCCTAACATTGGATGGATACATCTTGACAATATCAGAATCCTACATTCATCTTGCTAAAGTGGTGTAAGAGGACCTTCGTTCATTGTTATCGCACTGACATCCCTAAACCTGCAAACAGTAAGAGGCAAATACTCGCCACAAACTCTGTTTTCACATATGCAATTGCGCATAATATATTGATGTTGATCCTTTGCAGGTTATCACCCTACGCGCACGTCCGTCATGACTCGCGTCCATTACGCCGCGCCTTCGGTACACGTCAGTGACGGCACACGTTTGGCTCAGGTGCGTATCTATCTGATCATTATTTGTACTTTACTCATGCCATAGCTCCAACAATGTCATGTGTTTTCTGTAACCTAACATGCTCGTTTTTCAAATACTAGTGACGAAATTAAAGTTTAAACTGTAGAAAGACCACATATTTCAGATCGATTGTAAAGCTACCCAACTTCAACATGTCGCGACAAGCCAAAATTGCTATGTTGTCTGATGGGAGCTGTACAGCGTGGCATATTCTTTGTATCATAACAGTACCCACACATGTGAGAGGTTCCTCCCTACATTCGCTCTTGTCACTCTTTCTTGACACATCGCTCCTACTACTGTCACCATTTCGACCCCTCCCCCTCACAGTCCTTCCTGCAACGTGAAGCAACAGCACAGCACTAGGGTTTGGTCATGTGCGTGGTTGCTCCTGGGTGGTTGAGTCAGGAGGTCGATTTTGAATGTTCAAAGTTTGAACTCGCCATTTGTAGGTTAGCGACGGCCAATCTGAGCCAGGCTTCACAGCAATGCCAGACTTCGTTTTAAGCTCTTCTGTATACCAAGGTAGGCTTGATCCCGAACCTTAAATCCTCTGTTTTTAGGAACTGCCTCCGCCAGCAGCACTAGACTTTGCTTGTACGAGGCGCATCTGCCAACACAGCTGAACTTTGCTGATGCGAGGCGCCTCCGCCTGCACAACTAGACTTTGCTTGTAGGAGCCGCCTCTGCCAGCACTGCTTAATCCGTTCACAAGCATGCATTTGCAACTGCGCTTTGACCAGCGCATCAAATGCCATTCCAGCGAATGCTGGAAGCATCATTTGTGAGTGACAAGAGAGGATACATGCGCGACTCGCTTAGGACTCCAAATAGGTCACCTCAATGAGTATATAATCACCTATTCCGTCACTACCGCAAACCAGTGCTATTACCCTACCTTCGTCTTTAGATCTTCTCCAGAAAATGGCTCGAAACTCATCAACCATGATACCCCCATCTCTTGTGCGCCAGGTTCTTGAGCGCACCAGCAAGACTAATCACACCCTGATTCCATGTCACGGCCAGCTTGCAGGTGAGCTCAATACCTTTCACCTCAATGCATTTGGTGGCATATAAAGTCTCATCAGTAATCTGTTTCTCTCTGCAAATCAGGAATGCAATCATCACCACCAAGAGGACCATCGCTGCCATCGTGGACGGCTACCCGCGGCCGCGGAGCTAAACGATCTGCAACTCAGCAGATACTTGGCTCAAACCATGGGAGGGCACCTGCTATGAATACAACCCAGGGTAACAGTGCGTCCACCTCCCCAACAGCTGCCTTTGCGTTTCCAACAGCTTCACAGGGATCCCCTACTGCAAACGAGCGTGGCCTTGATGTTGAAGGGACTTGCATGGGGGAGCCAAACAATGCTGCAACAACTCATGAGGAAAGCCAGCAGGAGGAACATCTTGAAGGGGAAGGAGAAGATTTGCCGGCTGCGCCTACGGGTGGTAACCAACAAGGTACGGATCTGTAGGTTTGGCAAAGTTTGTCGTCTCAGTGACATGATCAAGACAGTCACCAATAGAAAGGTTACTGCCGCGCTACAAGTTAAATTGTTGCTGGTTTTGGGTGGCATGTATGCAGGCGACAGGGGCACTTCATTTGCTGCTCGTGTCATGGAACATGTGGAAGGCGGGAATTATGATGCTGAAGCTGATGAGTTCGCTGAAGGTTGGACTGCAAAGTCTTTGAACGACGACGTTCGTTTGCAGATGGAGCAGGAGAGGGAGAATGCAAAAACTGCTCGGGAGGCTTGTGCCAGTAAGGAAGCTGATTTGAAGGAAGCTCTGGCCATGGCAATGACTCTCACAGTGCATGTCGTTGACGAGCAGGTTCGCCACGTCAACGTTGAGGTGAGACATTGAAGAAGCGTTGTGATTTCAAATTCAGCCATACAATACACTAACCCTAATACCCCAATGCCATGTTGCAGAGGCTAGTCAAAGACTCGGTCAATGATATGCTCTTTGATGAAGAGCACATGAACCTCAATCCGACGCGCTAATATGTGACAAAGCGCCTTTTAGGTAATTCTTTGTTCATTTTCAGTTTGGGTTGTTTGAGTTGGAGTCGATCTTGCCTAACTCTCACGTTTGGTTGCATGCACAGCAAACTCCGGCATTCCTTTTGGCACAACGGCATCTGGAAAGCTAAAAGCCATGCTCAAAGACCTGAAAATTCCACAGACGACCGAGCGCCGTTTCAACAACAGAATCGGGAAGATCTACTCGGCATGTCGGTACTCCTTGCGAAGGGCACCTTTACGTCTTGCAGGTTCTGATTTCACTCTCCCTGCTTTGCATTCCCTGCAGCCTCATCTCTCCCTCTCCTTGCCTTGAATGGCTTGCAGGTTCTGGTTTCACTCTCCCTGCTTTGCATTCCCTGCAGCCTCATCTCTCCCTCTCCTTCCTTGAATGGCTTGCAGGTTCTGATTTCACTCTCCCTGCTTTGCATTCCCTGCAGCCTCATCTCTCCCTCTCCATGCCTTGAATGGCTTGCAGGTTCTGATTTCACTCTCCCTGCTTTGCATTCCCTGCAGCCTCATCTCTCCCTCTCCTTGCCTTGAATGGCTTGCAGGTTCTGATTTCACTCTCCCTGCTTTGCATTCCCTGCAGCCTCATCTCTCCCTCTCCTTCCTTGAATGGCTTGCAGGTTCTGATTTCACTCTCCCTGCTTTGCATTCCCTGCAGCCTCATCTCTCCCTCTCCTTGCCTTGAATGGCTTGCAGGTTCTGGTTTCACTCTCCCTGCTTTGCATTCCCTGCAGCCTCATCTCTCCCTCTCCTTCCTTGAATGGCTTGCAGGTTCTGATTTCACTCTCCCTGCTTTGCATTCCCTGCAGCCTCATCTCTCCCTCTCCATGCCTTGAATGGCTTGCAGGTTCTGATTTCACTCTCCCTGCTTTGCATTCCCTGCAGCCTCATCTCTCCCTCTCCTTGCCTTGAATGGCTTGCAGGTTCTGATTTCACTCTCCCTGCTTTGCATTCCCTGCAGCCTCATCTCTCCCTCTCCTTCCTTGAATGGCTTGCAGGTTCTGATTTCACTCTCCCTGCTTTGCATTCCCTGCAGCCTCATCTCTCCCTCTCCTTGCCTTGAATGGCTTGCAGGTTCTGGTTTCACTCTCCCTGCTTTGCATTCCCTGCAGCCTCATCTCTCCCTCTCCTTGCCTTGAATGGCTTGCAGGTTCTGGTTTCACTCTCCCTGCTTTGCATTCCCTGCAGCCTCATCTCTCCCTCTCCTTCCTTGAATGGCTTGCAGGTTCTGATTTCACTCTCCCTGCTTTGCATTCCCTGCAGCCTCATCTCTCCCTCTCCATGCCTTGAATGGCTTGCAGGTTCTGATTTCACTCTCCCTGCTTTGCATTCCCTGCAGCCTCATCTCTCCCTCTCCTTGCCTTGAATGGCTTGCAGGTTCTGATTTCACTCTCCCTGCTTTGCATTCCCTGCAGCCTCATCTCTCCCTCTCCTTCCTTGAATGGCTTGCAGGTTCTGATTTCACTCTCCCTGCTTTGCATTCCCTGCAGCCTCATCTCTCCCTCTCCATGCCTTGAATGGCTTGCAGGTTCTGATTTCACTCTCCCTGCTTTGCATTCCCTGCAGCCTCATCTCTCCCTCTCCATGCCTTGAATGGCTTGCAGGTTCTGATTTCACTCTCCCTGCTTTGCATTCCCTGCAGCCTCATCTCTCCCTCTCCTTGCCTTGAATGGCTTGCAGGTTCTGATTTCACTCTCCCTGCTTTGCATTCCCTGCAGCCTCATCTCTCCCTCTCCTTGCCTTGAATGGCTTGCAGGTTCTGATTTCACTCTCCCTGCTTTGCATTCCCTGCAGCCTCATCTCTCCCTCTCCTTGCCTTGAATGGCTTGCAGGTTCTGATTTCACTCTCCCTGCTTTGCATTCCCTGCAGCCTCATCTCTCCCTCTCCTTGCCTTGAATGGCTTGCAGGTTCTGATTTCACTCTCCCTGCTTTGCATTCCCTGCAGCCTCATCTCTCCCTCTCCTTGCCTCGAATTGCCTGCAGGTTCTGATTTCACTCTCCCTGCTTTGCATTCCCTGCAGCCTCATCTCTCCCTCTCCTTGCCTTGAATTGCCTGCAGGTTCTGATTTCACTCTCCCTGCTTTGCATTTCCTGCAGCCTCATCTCTCACCTCTTTGGTGACACGATTTTCTGTTTTATGCTTGTTTTCTGGTGTGGTGCAGGTGCGTTACAGGCTGCGTATTCCGACCTCAGCAAGGACGCAGCTGAGACGTTCGGGTGACTCTTCGGCAATGACACGCCAGGCGCGTGTCATTCAACGCTGGATAAACCGTGGCCCGGTTCACGTGGAGGGCAAGTACCTTGGCATAGGGAGGATCTGCCTGGTTGGGTGGGAGGACGTGCCAGAGTCTCAACTCGCTTCAGATCTCTTGGGCGACGAAGATGCGTCAGAGGAATTGGAGTTCGATGAAGAACTTGATTATGAGAATGTTTGAGCTTGCATTTGTCTGTTTTTGCTGGTCTTGATATTATTTATTTCAAGTATAGTAGTTCTGTAGTGGGGTTTTAGAATTTGAATAAATATATATTGATTATTATGCATATTATAGCTTTTATATAACAACCGGTTTATGCTTTTAACATACTAAATAATAAATATATGTTTAGACGTGTAGTACGTAACATTGGTTTTAGTGGTTACAGGATTACCCGATTCCTAAATCACATACTCTTTACCTAAATGCGCATTAACTTCAACGATTTGGTAACAGCATCATAACCATTGTTCTTGTGGACAGTATCGAGTGCCCGAAGTGGGCAGTTCTACTGTTCCATGACTCGGAGAGAGAAGGGAGAGTTCCGCAGCACGAGATCTGTTCCTGTCCACAGCAACACGCCGACAGGCTTGAAAGCAAGTCTCCGAACCCTAGCAAAATTGGTCGCGTCGCCCGCTGCTGAAATACACACCCAAGCAACTTCTTCTCGACACCTTCGCGCACGGCCCTCTAAACCATTGAATGGTTCAGCTGCATGGTACCGCGCGCGCATGACCATTCTAAACCATTGAATGGTCACGTGGGAAAATAAATATTGTCAACGGCAGCCCTCAAGCAAAGTCTGTGCCCAGCTCTGCTTGTCAATACTCATCTCTCAAAAGCGGCATCATCAACTCGAAGCTTCGAGTCAAGGCCCTCATCGTCGCCACCCAACTCACAAGGACAAAATCATGCCGGTGGCATCGCATGTGAGGCCGGTGGCCGTGCTGCATTCTGGACTCGCGACATTCCACCCATTGAAGACCAGACCCCATGCCGTCTGGCACTCCCGCAGGAATTGAGCTGCAGTTGCGAGTGAAGAGATTCACAATGAGCCTATGCAGCTGAATTTCACCTTACGACAGAACAGAGTTGTGGACCAATCCTGCAATGTGCTGCGCAGCTTTCACCTTGTGTGGATTCCAGAGGCACGGCGCTAGCGACGGGCGCGGCGGAGCTGAGCGCGCCGCCAGCGGTACGTACGCGCCGTTGCGGCCACGAGCCATCGCCACGCCGGCCCAACGCTTCTCTCGCATGACGTCAGCAAAAAGAGTACTGCTAGTAGCAATGGATGGCAACGCGTGTGCTATAGTTTGCCGCGGCGGCCAAATCCTCTAGGTCGAAATGGTTGACTACGGGGTGTTGGCACGAACATCTAAGAGTGATCGTAGCTTTGTGTAGTTCCTTAGCACTTGCACATTCACAGGAGAAATTGGCAAGAGTTTCCACGAGGCAAAGATTGCATTCCAGAATGATAGCAATGACAATGACAGAAATGACTACATCAGGCACCTAGCAACTCTGCAGCTAGTCTGGTCGACTGCCAGCACTGCATGGTCGACTGCCTGCCAGCGTTGCGTAGAGGAGCCGCGCCAGCACTACAAAAAGATGACCTGCTAGTGCAGCAGGTCGACGGCGTGCCAACGCTGCAGTAAAGCGGCTGTCCAGCGTTGCACCCGTAGAAGATTGTAGTGCGTACGTAGGCAGGTGCGCGCAGACGATTGGCCCGACTTGCATCGTTGTGCATCCGTCGGCTGTTGTCCGCGCCTGACGAGCCACATCGAGTTCGGGATACCAGCGCGAAGTCGCCTTCGTCACTGCGACCTCGACGACGTTCGCGTGCCTCCGCAGAACTCGCCGAGCAGGTTACCTGGTCGTCCTGGACACCACTAGGTGCTGTGGTCGACCACCAAGTGCTATGGTCGACCACCAAGTGCTCTGATTGCCTCTGGTCGACCACAGCTCCTGTCGAGCAACATCCTAGTCGACGGACCCCTCCGTCGACCAGCATTGTCGGCTGCTGTTGCCGAGCTCCCCTCGTCGACATCCGTTCACATGTCAGGTCGACGGACTGCTCCGTCGGCCTCCTCGTCGAACTGCTCCTCCTGGTCGAAGGCCCACCCATCGACCAACCCAGTCAGCTACAGCTGTCGAGCTCCCTGGTCGACGGCTCCAGCCCCGTGATAGACCCGTGCAGGTCGACGACCACTTCATCGTCTTGCCCTGCAGAAGATGGCCGTCGAATTCCCTAGTCAATGGCAACACCACAATGATTCCCTGCATCTCGACGAAGCCCGTCGAGCAGCTCCCTCACTGTGAACAGTCGGCTGCTTCTTCGTACATCCGACCAAGTTGTCGGCGTTGCCTAAGCGAGGGCGGGGCCAACACTCCATTCCCGTTAACAGAGAGTGGGCCGCCTTGATCAGGTTCAGGCTGGGATTGAGGGAGGCAAGCTTAGTTGCTGCGAGCCCAATCTGGGTGTTGATAGAGGAGCGGAGGTCACCCTGGGCTATTGAGTCAGGAAAGAGAAGGCAAGAGAAGTGTTGCAGGTAACTTACAATATGGAAGAGTTGGGCAGTAGTTAAATTTATATAGAATGTTATGCTGCTGAGTGGACAATCATAACTCAAGAAATTGTCACGTGTCGCGTGCATAATGAGGAGCGGAGATGCATGAAGGATAATACTTAGGCATCACGCTGAACAAGAATGCAGTTCATGTTGCCTTGTGTGTCTTGCAAAGAAATTTAGACTCACAGAGGGGACATAGTAGAAGGCAGCGCATGGAGTAATAGAGGTGGCTCCCCAACTGAATCACCTTGCCCTGAGGCAAAGGCTGGCTGCAGTTAACACCCTGGAACATATAGGAGGGGTGACGTGTTGGAATATAAAGCCTGTCACCACCACTCCATTGGAAAAAATAAGGTTGTCTGGAGAAGATATCACAGCCCCATCCTTACTCTCCTAGCCCTTGGCAACCAGCCACTCATCCTTATGGAACCTTACCTATTTTTTCAGCCCTCTCATTTGAAGACAAGGTGCGTGATCTGATCATGAAACCATGCGTGCAATTAAAGAAGTTGGTAACGCTCTGAAGAATATGGGAATTGAACCAGATCATGGATTACGTGGCGGACTTGCATGATGGGAACAATGTATATTACCTAACAAACGTAGCATCACCAAAGTATGTGCCCACGTTTTGCTAAAAACAATCCTTTGACCCCCGTCATACTTAAAGATGTTTGATTATGGAACGCAAATAAAATTGGAATCTACAGTGCCCGAGCATGTATCTTCATTGTATTCATAAAACTTTGTGACAGTTCCTGGCTGAGCTCCATTGAAGAAGCTGAAAGCACCCGCGCATGTCAGAGACGGTGACATTGCCTTGATCATGCCCATCTTGCAGCTGTGAACACTGAAGGGTTCGTAGTCTGCCTTAAGGCACACCTGAGATAGGAGGTGCATGCACACAGCGAGAGAGAAGGGGGAGAACATTAAGAAAAAGGAAGGATCTCATGCTTCGGGATCTTTCTGGCTTCCCACATCTCACCTGCACGCTAGTCACGCTGGAAACAGTGGTGCTGGTCGCGGGGATGGTGCGAGGGCAGATGAGGCCGGGATTGTTGCGGTATAGCTCCATCCAGGTATCAGAACCCACAGATGCGCCCCCACTCAAAGGGCCCACGGACCCATCCTCACTAGACTCCATGCCCTGCAGCAGCAGGTCCTCGCACGTGTCCTGTGTTGTGAGCATGCCATACTGCAAGCACCGAGGGACAGTGAAGGCGAAGGTGGCATTGCGCTCGATGCACAAAGAGTGGCCCGCCTTGATGGGCTCAGAGCAGTTCAGGCCGGGATTGAGGGAGGCAAGCTCAGTTGTTGCGAGTCCAATCTGCGCGTTGATAGAGGAGCAGGTGTCACCCTGGGGGGTTGAGTGGGGGAAGAGAAGGCAAGAGATGGTATAGGGATTGGGGCCGTAGCTGGTTTTCTGTAAATTACATATGCTGCTGAGTGGATAACTCTAACAATATCATGTGTTGCGTGTTTGTTGTGATGAGGATACGGATGGTTCTTATTAGGCATCGGGCGAAACAAGAAAACATTTCAATCCCGTTGCCATGTGTGTCTTGCTAAGAACCTTGGACTCACATTGAGGACATAGTAGAAGGCAGTGCACGGGGTGGTGAGGGTGCTCTCTAGCTGAATCACTTTTCCCTGAGGCAAAGGCTGGCTGCAGTTAACACCCTGGTACACAGCGGAGGGTTGATTTGTTGGATATGAATGCTTGCTACCATCACTCCACTGCAAGAAAAGCAATACATTTTGGGCAAGACATCACAACCCCATCCTTACCCTCCTAACCCTTGCCCGCAAGTTACCAATCCTTAGGTAGCCAATCAATCAATCAATCAATCAATCAGACCCCTCACCATGTTTTGCACTGGGGCGCTAGCCAATGCAGGAAAGACACCGGAGCACCACCAATTGGCACCAGTGACTGTCAAGGTGGACGTTGTGGTGTTGGTTGGAGGGTTGAAAGAAGAGGCAAGATTAGAAGGGTAGTTACGTAGGGACAGCAAATGAGGTTATATGGTGACGACATGAAAGATTGAAATGGATCAGTAAAGACCGTCTCATGAGTGGATGAGGCCTAACTAGCAGCACCTGGGTCGCAGGTGGGGGAGTTGTCAAGCGTTCTGCTTTCAAAGTAGTTGGGCGGGCAGATGCAGGAGTAGGCGCCCTTGCCATCGTTGATGCATGTGCCCGCAGCACAGGGGTTGATAGAGAACGAACTGCACATGTCCACTGTTGGGTCGACAGTAGGATGGATATGGGCAGTGAAGGACGGTTTTCAAGGATGAAGCATGAATGCAACTGATATGTCTATGAGAGAAATTGTCTATTGTTATCACAATTTATCGTAGATGCATTGGCACCTAACAAAACCTTCATACTGGCTGTACAGAAGCACATTGAACTGAAGGTTCAAGACACGTGCTGGGACTAAGTAGGAATCACTCACCATATGCACATGTGTTGGCTGTCTTCGTTAGGAATGATGCAGTTGCAGGTGGTGCTCTTGGTTTTTGTGTTTACGAGGCATGTGAAGGGACCACAAGGATTCATAGTTGGCTGCAGATCGCCAGCTCTCTTGAAGCTCTTCTGGCCACAAAGGTCCTTGGAAACTGGAGAGTAGATGGAAATGACAAGAGGGATAGTGTGATTTGATTTACAAGACAATCAAGAGAGTGGGTGATTGAAGGTACTGTGAAAGTGTGTGTGCAAAAGAACCGACAAATGCAAGCGGGCACCCACTCCATTGAAGTATCTACAATGGGGTAAAGCTTCAGTGATGTTATGATATAGGGAGTAGATTACTCACTCTTGACAATGGGATAGATGCCAGGTAGCATGTTGATGCCACACACGACATCCCCTCCCTGAATGTCCATGTGCATGTGGCCCTGGTCTCCCCAATCCACTCCCCACGAGTTGCGGATGATCCAATACGGCAGATCAACGGGGCTTTGGCGGTCATCAGTTGTTGAGACGAGGTACCCAACAATAAGTACAGCATGGTTCAGGTTGCCAGTATAGCAGGTAGGATTCTGATACTTTGAGGTTAGGAAGGGAGTGACGTGAAGATTACAGAAAGACACACATACCAGTACATGAGCGATGCGGCCACCTGCATGAGTTTAGTATGGCACTCGTGTGAGAAAAATATCTTGTATCATTCAAAGCTAATATCAAGTTTCCACAAGAGTGATCAGCTACTTGGTTGATAAATACAAGCATCTACTATTGAAGCACTCACCACAAACCATGTTCTCACGAAAAGTCAACAACAAAAAGAACGCCCACAAGGAGGCACGTTCAGGATGATCTCACACGATCAGTACCCACCCCATCATATTCGATGAATGTGGCAGCAGAGGCCTCGATGTGAACCACCACTGGCTGCCGCTTCACTGCCAGCATGAGCCCCACATACCCCTTGAACAGCGTGCGCTCAAATCCCTGAATGGGGGACTTCATTGGCTGCAGAACAAGAACACGCAAGTAGTTGGTTGGAAGTTTATGTTGGGAAGAGGGAAAAAATCTACTGCATGTACTGGCAGGGTCTATATATACACAGATCTCACGGACAGGCTTTGTTTCCTACCCGCTTGCCGTATGTTGTAAGGCCACCACGAGGGAGGGTGAGAAGCTTTTCACAAGCCGCGGCAGGAGAGCCCCATGCCGTGCACTTGGCTGCCGGGGAGGTGAGCCCCATGACTGCAAAGAGTGAGTCCACTGACAGCCGTGGAGCCTGCCGATTCAATGCGATGCCGTATGCTGCTTCCACACTTGCCACCACGGCATACGCCCAGCTTGCATCTGAAAAGGGTGGAAAGAGGTGCAGGTCGGGAATCAGAAGGAACCATTCCTAACAGACTGCAATCAATGCTGTTGACTAGCCCCTCTGACCTGTAATATCACAGTTACTCATGAGTCAGGAAACATCACAAAAATGAAATGATATGCTCCCACCTATACATTTCTGTTTGTTTCTTGTTGGCACTCACAGCAGTCCTTCCGGTTCTTGACCGGCCATCTGAGGAAGGGCATGGAGTTCCAGGAGTGGGAGCCACTGACATGCCACGGGTCAAGCTGTTTGGGTGACACCTGGTAGTCCGCACTCATGTAGCGCATGAAGGGACTGGCTCCCACTGGCTCATAGGACGCTAGAGAGAGAGTCAGACCAAAGCCTGGATATAACACGGTGGGTTTTGGCACAAATCGTAGTGAGCGCACAAGAATTAGGCGAAGTGTGTCATACAGGTTTGTTAGGGTGGTGAGCTTGCCGATGGAGGAAGGGATGGGCCCAGAGAGCCGGTGGTAAGCGAGGGATCTGGTGGTGGGAGGATTCAACTGAAGGGGCATTGGGAAGAACAGCCGATGGATGGTACAGTTGGATGGTGGAAACGGCGAGGGAAGAAGGGGGATAAGGGAAGTGGAAATATGTGTTAAGGGAAGTGTGTCATAACGTTTCGTGGTTGACGGGGTGATGGGTCCATCACAACTGTGTGACTGAATGCTTCTTGCACGTGACTCTTGCACATGAAATTTACATGTCAAGGCACCCAAATATATGTGCGTAGCTCACAGTATAAAGATCTGGGTGAGAAGACCGATGCCAGAAGGGATGCTGCCGGAGAGCTGGTTGCTTTCATATTCCTGGAGGAAGCACAAAGACCATAGTGCAGGGGAGAGACCAAAACACAGACATTACCACTACTAGATTCTTCAGAACCAGTATCCCACCACTTGCAGGGCGTTGGGATGGTTGGCATACGAGGTTGAGGGACGAATCTGTGGGTCTCTGTGCCATCGCACAAGCACTTCCCAGCCCCAACGGCCATGTGGAGCTGATTTACGGCCAACACCTGGACCAAATCGTTCAGAAAGCTGGCTGCACAGTACAGGAAGTATTAGCAGGGCCATAGCAGAGTATAATGTATACGTGTATGGATAGCAGAGGTTGGCGTATTTCAGCGAGAACTTATGATTATTTTCCCTCGCTTGCTTGCACTTGGCACGGAGCAACGGACCATTCTGGAGAAAGAGCGCAATAGGCAGACACTCAAGGCGGGGTAGGAGGTTGTAGGGAATAGAGTAATGCATTTGCTTGTTTAGTTGACAGCTTTCATATGTTCTTCATTATGGTGCCTGTTGCTGCATTAATATGGAGCTGCATCTTCAGGCCAAACCAAGGGTATCAGGAACATGAAAGATAGCAGCAGAGCCATAATAGGCAATGCCGGGAAGCAACAACGAGGGGAGGGGCGGCACTCACACAGCATAGAGTTTGCGTAGATTGCTAATAGATGAAGGGATGGTGCCAGACAGACTGTTCGAATCCATCAACCTGAGTCACATGTAGGATGTTGCAATGCAGAGATTACAAGATGCTACTTTGACAGTTGAGCAGAGCAAGAGCAAGGGCAAGGCAGAAAGAGATACTGGAGGGAAAACGAGAGATGTTGATGACAAGAAGTGCCAGTGAATGGGCATTGCGGGCTGGATTGCATGGTAACCAACTCAAAGAGATGCAAGCCGGTCGCTTCGCATACTTTCATCTAGTGAGGAAGGGGCAAACACGGGTCATACGGCGCTCCTAAGTTGGTGAGGGAGCTAATGGAGTCCGGGATGGGTCCAGATAGTTGGTTGCCGGAAAGGTACCTGAGTGGAGGGTGGTCCACACAGCTAGCTAAGAAGAAATACTTTGCGGATTGGCTAAAAAGGGCCCACGTTCATGGTGAAGCGGTTCAAGCAAACAGCAACAAAAAAAGGAGGAACATGATGATGCTAGAAGTGGATCACAAAGAAGACTAGCTCGGTGTGATTTAGTAACAAGTAACAGGGAAATGCTTAGAATGGATTGCTGGTTCTAGGTGCTTGCTCCTGTTCACTCCCCGGTTCCAATATTTCAACAGTCTGCCGCTCACAGGGAATTTAATTGGATCATGCTGCCTAAGCCAGAAGGAATGCTGCCTGAAAGCCGGTTGGCTTGAAGATACCTGAAAGAGAATCGTGACAAACGGTTGGGCTGGAATACAAGAGGCATAATTGGAGAGATAGAAGCGAGCAATCAGAAGTAGAGAAAGAAAGCAGGGATGAATATGAACATGGAACTATGAGGCAGGTTGGTTAATTGTCTTGCTCAGATCGTAAAAGTGAAAGTGAATATGAAGAATTGAATAGGTAGAAACAGGGCTACAGCGCAAAGTACAACTGCCAGCGAATAATTTTATTCTGAAAAAAGATACAAGAAAAGAGGAACCCTATACGGAAGAGGAAATAGGGTACGAATGAGGACGCATGCAGAACTCAAGTGGAGCCTGCACTTGAGATAATTTTTACAGAATTCGCGTGAATCACACATGCAGACTAATATCCCCACCAGTACACGTTGGCTCACATACATGGTACTGATCTTCTCAAGGAGCATCACGTGTGTGTGTGGGACTTACAGGGACTTGAGCTGAGCGAGAGAAGTGACACTGGCAGGAATGCTGCCTGAAAGCTGGTTGAACGAAAGGTCACTGAGAGCATAAAAGCAAGCAGCAAAGACCAGAAATGAATTCTCTAAAGCAGCATCTTACGTGGTAGAAAGCCACGCCCACACCCATTCTCGAACCGAACCCTTGAAGGGTCCCTGGATGGACGCCCATTGTGGCTTATTGTTTCTTTGGCGAGACCTGTAATAACAAAATTGGTTATTGCCCCAGGGCAGGACATATATTATGCGGATGTCTTTGCTGTTATGGAAGGCACCAACAGAGTCAATGCTAAGAACATGGATGGGGGAAATATCCGAAAGGTGCCGCATCGCCCCTTTGACTCGGGGATGGTGCTTACACATATGTAAGTGCCGTCATGGAAGCAATCCCAGAAGGGATAGCTCCAGTGAGCTGATTGCCACGGAGATTCCTGAATGGAACAAGAGGGAGATGGGAAGCCAAGAGAGGCCGAGGAGAAAGTCAGAGGGGAGAGGGATAACGGTAGAGTCACCAATTCAGGCAGGGCAACAAACACAGCAAGGCTGACAGGGTGAGCAAAGGTAGGAAAATACTGTCAAACAAAACACACGTGGAGATAGTTTCCACTATATTAGGTTGGCTCAAACTCATGGTATGGTATGATTCATTGTTTGTGTACATGAGTATCAGAATATTCTGTCGTGCACCCCGCTCGTTGCCTTGTTGAGCCGAGCAACGCCGAGTGAAGCACACTCAGCTGGTGGGCATGGCTCAAGTGAGGGCCATGTCCGTGCGGGCCAATAGAATAGAATGGAGTCTGCTTAGCTCGAGACGCATTTTGCCTGACAAAACTGTGCCGATGGTAATTGTTCCTGCCAGGTCTGTGACCGGCGACACGAGCCGCTGAGCTGGGCCCGGCTCGTAGCGTTTTGTGCCATGTGCCGAGCTGGTGGACTCCAGCCGGAAAGGAATCTGCTTGATTTGCTGCTCGTGTTTACATGGTATTACTTACCATCTTACCAACACTTGTGTGCAACTCACACTTTACTGAGTTTTACGAGAGCACTGATAGTATCAGGAATGCTGCTTGAAAGCTGGTTGCTCGAAATATCACTGAAACTTATCAGGCAAGTAGCAGAACAACACAACGGCAGCTTGAGTGGAAATGAAAGAAATAATATGAAAGAAATGAAACAATGGGAAGCCATGTTGATAGAAGATGGGTCAGATTGAAATTTTATTAAATGGCAAGAAACAGGAGGGCACAAATAGTAAAGGGAAGGAACGCGGATATAGGGGGAGGGGGGACACAAAGAAGATTCAGGGTACTGATCGGGGTATTGACCGGGCCGACCTGAGCCATGATGGCTGTGGCTTGGTCCATGTAAGGGCGGGTATGAACTGTGTAGAGGACTAGAAACCAGTAACAGGATGATGGGGTAAAAGATAGAATCCTGAGCGTTGTGGTTGGGTGGAATACAAAGAATCCTTACATCGCTACCAAGTTTGTTAGCAAGCCAATGCTTGCAGGGATAGAGGTGAGCTGGTTGGGAGCAAGCCAACTGTCCAAGATAGGGGGCGTGGGAAGTTGAGGTATTAGGGCAATGGTGAGAGGGTAAGCGCGTGGTGCTGGTGTGAGATTTACAGCGGTACACACTAGCACCATCTGCAGAGGCACTGACACATGAAATATAACATAATCCACATTAGACATGAGCAGTGGGTCGGCCACTGTTTGGACTGGGAAGCTCTAGTTTTGCACTGTTTGGACTGGGCAGCTCTAGTTTTCCACTGTTTGGACTGGGCAGCTCTAGTATTCTGGGCCTCTTATGGGCCATCCTGGTACCAGGGTGTCCAGATATGCTCGAACCATGGCCTGGCAGGGCTCACACGCGATTTGAGTCACATGCGGCGCGTTGGGCTTGCTATAAACAACAGTTCAATATGTACTTTCCAGTTCCAAATTCAGACCCAAAGTTTCAGCTTCCATAGGGTGTTATCAGTGAAAAGAGAATCCAGTGAAGCTATGATGTAATCGAGAATGGGCACACCTATGCAATGAAAGATTATTGTAGGACAACATCTACTGGTTTGATTTGAGGATGTGAGGAGCAGAGGGGATTGTGCTTACAGCCTTGGGAGGTTTGTCAGGGAACCAAGCTCAGCAGGGATGGAGCCAGTGAGCTGATTACTTCCTAAGTTTTTGTGATCCAAATGATGATAAGAAGATGTGAGTGGGAGATGCAAAGGAGACAGGCAGAGAAGTCAGGAGGGGGAGGAACACAGGGCTTGAATGAGGGGAAACAAGCGGCGTGTGTTGCATGGGCAGAACGGACTCCCTAGTGCTGAAAAGTTACTAGTATCACCAGGAAAAATTTGAGTGCTGCCAGCTTGTATACTCATTTCATCTCGTCTTACTCACAGTGTTAGATGGTTTGCTGTAGTTATGCATAATTCCTTGGTACTTACGATCTCGCCCACTTCACTTGTATTTGACTCACAATTGAGTGACTTGAGTGAGAGCACTCATACTGGCAGGGATGCTGCCTGAAAGCTGGTTGTTTTCAAGGTCACTGAGAGAAAGCATCCAAATGCAGAGGGTACACAAAGCAAGCTCCTGGTTCTCAACGGGTGCAGAGAGAGAAGGAATGTAGCTGCATGACCTGGTTCCTGAGGATTACGCTCATGCAAAATCCGAACGGCAAATGCTATACTCGTAATAAGAGAAGCATAACCTCATGTTGGGGGATATGGAAGTGATGGGTGTGCATCTTCTTACATATGTGCCAACTTGGCCAGCGAGCCAATGGTGGAAGGGATGGTGCCATTGAGCTGGTTGCCTGCCAAAACTCCGTCTCGTAATAGATAGTCATGAAATAGAGGGTGCAGTGACAACAGGGCAAGTGGTTGAACGGGCAATCGCAGGGCTTCTTGGAATAGATGGTTCAGAATGTGGAATGATTCTGGAAGAGTATTGTGTGGTGGCAGTGCCATCAACGTTGCAGCTGAGGCCAAGCCACTCCGCATGCAGTGGGAGTCAGACAGGGTTTTAGGTAGGAGAATAGGTTGGAGGAATGTGGCCAAATCTCCATGGTAAACAGACAAAAAAGCAGCATGCCGCGTTGTGGTGTGGTGAAATAAAATGGTTGATGCTATGTTGATTACATGGATGGTGTGCAACTGGTGAAAACGCAATACGGTAGGAGTTCAAGCACACCTAGTTCATCGACACTATCCCAAGGCAAGAGATTAGAAGACGATAGGGTACAAAAGAAGAGCATGTGTTAGAGCATAAGGCAGGCTGTGGCAAACGTTCAACAAATCGAAAAGCATCAGACACTAAAAAAAACTAATGAAACAACTGAGTCCCCGCATTTTGTCGTCGGCAGAGCTGTAAACAATCATGTTACAAAGAGAGCAGGTAACCAACTTACAACTTCGTGAGTGCAGTGAGCTTTGATATGGAGGAGGGCACGGGTCCTGACAACATGTTGTAATAAAGCGAGCTGATGAACCAGTTCAACGACAAATGAATGCAAGGCCCGCATGGAGTGAATAAAAGACCGCATGATACTATTAGATGGAGAGATAACGTGATCGAACTATGCTATCACCAACAACGGGCAGAAAAATAGACGTGAAGATGCGAGGCAACCTAACGACGGGAAGGATGTGGGGGTTGGGATGACAGTAGTGTAAAAGAGGTTGTCATGTGAATAATTTGAACAGAAGGTTGTCAATATGAGAGTAGCGTACATAAGGGGAAGGGATAAACACAGAGAGCAACTGAAGCAAAAAGTCTCACAGGTATGTCATGCTTGTCATCGAGCCAATCTCAGCTGGGATAGAACCCGTGAGCTGATTCATGTCCAGCCTCCTGCACGGATAGGTGGAGATGCCGTGATTTCCCAAACAAAGTGTGAGGTAAACAAGAGTAGGGAGGGAGGAAAGCCTGAAAGCACATGGGCATAGTGGACATCTATAACAAGAACTGCGGATGTAGCAGGGGACTCGAGCGCTGTGCTGTGCGTCTCACTGGTATTTCATCATACTAAGCGCAGACACAGTTGCAGGAATGCTTCCTGAGATAAAGTTCCTTGTGAGGTCACTGTGAGGGGACGATCACATTGGGGGAAGGACAAACTGTCGTTAGTAAAAACTGACTTTACAAGGAAAAAGGTAGTGTTGTTCCCAGTCAGGCAATGCAATGTGCCCACTGTCGTGTGACCTCTTTCCCAGTGTCCATAAATTGCCTGTGCTTTGCTTGTGCCCCCTCACCCATTCGCCTTGCCCACCCTTGCTTGCCCGCGTATCACCGTGCCGCATTGTCCCCATCAGCCTTGTCGGCGGCCATTGTGTTGGCCTCACTACTAGGCTGCAGAGGCGCAGCGGGAGGCAGTGATACTGCAGGCCGCCCGCCACAAACCAGGCCCATGGCAGAAGGATTGCGAAGAGCTATTGCCAACCATCGCATGGATTTCGCAAACCACAAACATAGGCACAGAATTGAGCCCTCTGTGAAAGTGTGTCGGCGGCATGGGGGTGGGGGGAACCTCTGTTTCTTGTAGTAATACTACAAATTGTGCGGACTCCTCAGGCGATGATTTGTAGTAGTAATCAGCATTCACGAAAACGGGAAGCGACCCACATCAGTACCGAGAACGGTAGGACGCCGAAGAGAGAGAGAGGGAGAGAGAGAGAGAGAGAGAGAGAGAGAGAGAGAGAGAGAGAGAGAGAGAGAGAGAGAGAGAGAGATGGCCTAGGACTAGTCCTTAGCCGTTTTTCAGCCCTCTCTAGTGTAGAATCCAGTCCTTAGCCGTTTTTCAGTCTAGTTTCCTAGTATAAAGTCCTTAGATGCACCCTTTTGAGCTCATTCTTCACTGGTGAGTTCAGTTCGCGTGAGGTGTGGCAAGGTCAAAGGGAACAAGGACTATAGCAAGGAGCAGTACAACATGCAGTACTAGACAGCACACAACAACAACAACACCCCCAGGCGTGGAGTAACCGCCATGGGGAAGCCCAAGGCCAAGCCTGCTACCAAGGGGGCCGGCACGGGGAAAACACACGCTACCAGGCGAGTATCCAGCACAGCCTCCTGTCCATCCAGCGCAGGACGGATGCGACTGCTGGTACAAGGCCGAGAGGGGCCTCTTGGGCAGACTCAGCAAGCCGCACCATCGCCCCGGGGCCGGGCCCAAGGGCTGCACCAGGGGCGCCCGGGACAAGGCCGATCAGGGGGGGATAATGCAGCATCTCCGTTGCTGCGGACACCGCCGCTGACTGCTCCGACGGTATCATCCCCCCAACCTTGACACCTTGGCGCGCCAAGCACACGTGGAGCTGGTCCAGTACGTATGACAGCAACGTCAAGAACGTCCCCACGTGCATTACGCGCTGCTCGACGTGGAGATGCGTCGCAGCTACACGAGCAGCAACACAAGGAGCTGGTGGGACGGGAGGGAATAGCAGCACCTGTGGAGGTGGCGGAGGAACAGGAGACGTCAGGGGGCGAGGCTGCTGCGGCCGCGGCGGCAGTGGAAAACGGCGCAACGGTGACTGAGTCGGAGGCGGCTGCGGTGGCTGAGGTTGCGGATGCTGCGGGGCCGGAGGCGGTTGCTGCTGTTGCGACTGTGACTGGGCCGGCGGCCGTGGTGGCTCCGGTGTATGTTGGCGGGCTTGGCGGGCTTGACGCTGCCTTTGGCGGCGGCTCATCTGCACCCTCTGCCATCCCCCAGGCGTTGCAACCGCATGCAGAGGAGCCGGGACCGGCAGTGGGTCTGGAACAGACTGAGGAGGCGGTGCTGGCGGCGTCACCGGAGCCTGTAACGGCAGCTGCGCTGGCTGCGGCGGTGACAGCGGCAGCAGGGGAACAGGACGGAGACCTGGCCGAGGAGGATGTGCCGACTGCCGCTGCGAGCGCCGAAACGTCTGCTGCTGCCGAGGGCGCAAACACGCAGGGGCACGGCCAGGGGGGGAGCGATAGACAGGGTCACGGACCCGGCGTGGCTGCCTGCGCCGCCCGCGGGAAGGCAGGGAAGAAGCTTCGAGCCCAGCCAGCACCGAGGCGGCCCGGAGCAAGGCTGGGACCTGGTCCCCCGGGACCCCTCCTGGGCTGGCTTCTGCAAGGGCAGTTGCCACGAGTGCAAGAGCGTCAATTGTCATCTGTGGGGACAAGCGGCAGGGGCATGGAGGCAGAGAATGGTATTAGGCAAGCACCCACAGCGAGCAACACGGCGGGAGACGCACCGGCAGGACCATCAACGCGACAAACACCCCGCCGCGAAACACGGAGCTCGACGGGGGGAGAGGAGAGAACAAACACGGCAGCTGTTGCGGCTCAGCGAACCCCACAGCGGGAAACACACAGCGAGACAAGAATACAAGGCATTACCTAGGGCCAGCCAAGGGGTGGCCAGGCAACGCCGATGCTGGCGCCGTGGATCCCGGCGGGAAGACCGCAACAGGCTGGACGAGGCGAGCAGAACGCCGGCACCAGGGGTGGCGCAACGGCTCGCGGAGAGAGGGAAGGAGGACGAGGTGCCAGAGGGGGAAGAGGCGGAAGAGGCCCGATCGTCGGCGGAAGGGTGGCGCTCGTGAGAACGGGAACGTGGCGGGAACGCCACGAGCGACCAAAGCAAGCGGAGCCACCAACGAATCACAACGAAGAAGATGTTGTCAACAGCGATGAGGGGGACGACTTTGTAGCTGAATCGGCTGAGCCATCGGAGGAAATCTCGTTGGAGGACGAGGAGGATGTGCGCACGGCGAGAGGGGCTGGGGGACAGAGGAGAAACCAGAGTAACGGGGTAAACCCTCAGATCGATAACCCTCAGGGGACAGGAGTTAGGGACGAGGAGGTGAATGGAGAACAGAGTGAGCCTCGTGTACGGTCGCCTTCTGACCTGGCGGAAGACCAAGCCATCTGGCAGCAGGTGGCCACGTGTAACTTGACTCCCTTACAACGTGGGGATCAACCGTTCCTGGTGCGCCGCATGCCACCCCAAATCCTACAGAGCTACACAATCTGCATCCTCACACCACTCCTCCGGCTGTCCAAGATTCCGGACTGCCCAGGTGCATGGGCGGTCCTACAGTACCTACCGAGGCTGACACTACGTCCCGCCCCCGAACCTGTTGAAGGCAGCTGATGGTCAGCAATCGAGCAAAGTCTGCACCAATTCCAACTTGGCAACTGGCAGGAGCTTTTCACAGACGCGTGTGTCATCCTCGACAGTGAAAACTCGACAAGGCACGATATGGATGATGCTGGACTTTGCGCTAGAGCTGAGGGTTTGATGAAGAAGGGAAATATTTCTAAGGCAGTGGCAGCTCTACGAACTACACCACTAGCGGAAACCAATCCAGCGACCCTCACTTCGCTTCAAGCGAAACATCCAGATGCGGCCACTGCACTGCCAGGATTGGTAACCGGATTGACTCGATCGACACTGAGCGCGACTGCGGACGACCTACGCGACATCCTTGCAAAGTGCCCGAATGGAGTGGGAGCAGGCCCGTCAGGCACTTGCTTCGAACACCTTAGGGATCCCGCTCTTGCTAACGGTGAAATCCTCACGCTACTAGCCCAGGTAGTTAACTACCTACTTAGCACGTACCAGACCCAGGTCGTGAGGGACCTATTACTACCATCACGTCTGATCGCGCTTGAGAAGCCGGGTGGAGGAGTTTGTCTGATCGCGATCAGGGAGGCAATCCTGCGAGTAGTAGCAAAAGCGGCACTAAAGGAGCTGTCCCAAAATATCCGCGACTTCTTCTTACCAGTCCAGTTCGGGGTTGCAGTAACGGGAGGAGCGGAGTGCATCATCCACTCCGTCCGCTCCTTGCTTAAGACACACGAGTAGCGTTACAACTGGATATTGAAAACGCATTCAACAGTGTGGAACGTGCGGCATTCTTCACAGCGCTCTCCCAATCAAGCCTGCTGCCGCTCCTTCCGTTTGTTAGGACCTTATACGGGGGACCTTCGCGACTGCTGGTCGACCAACTTTTCGGCGTCGACCACATCTCCAGCTCTCGGGGAGTGCGACAGGGAGACCCTCTAGGAACACTGCTCTTCGCAGCTGCGATCCAGCCGGCCCTGACCAGCGCCGCGACCCTGCTCCCTGAGGTGGTGGTCGTCGCCTACGCGGACGACATCACGATAGTTGGGCCAAAGGAGGTTGCATACGAAGCGTTCAAAGCCATCACCAGGGACCTAGCAATGGTCGGGCTACGCTGCAACGTCGCCAAGTCATCTGCATGGATTCAGACACTGGCAGAAGAGGGAGACAGCACACTAACCCTCGGACTGCAGCAAAGCCAGGAGGGGATTCAAGTCTTGGGGAGCCCAATCGGCCTACCGACGTTCTGCACTAGCCAGATCCAAGGTCGGCTGGAGGAGGCATCACTAACACTACCGCTGGTGTCGCAGCTTCACCCGCAGAGCGCCCTGCTTATGCTGTCAAGGAGCATCTCCCGCCGAGTATCGTACCTACTCAGAACAACACCAGCGGATACCTTGGAGAGGGATAGGTGGAGAAACTGGAGTGAGACCTTGTTGGCAACGGTGTTTGCAGCAGCTAAGCTCCGGGCCCCTGCCAGCGAACTGGAGCGGAGCCTATTGTGGCGCCAAGGGACTCTGCCGGTCAGGCTGGGGGGACTAGGAATAATAGACCCCGCCTCCGAGGCCCTTGCAGCCTATATTGCCTCAGTAACGGCGGCACAGCAACTGCTACGTGGGATCAACCTCCCAGAAGCCTACCTCCTGAGCCGAGCGGTGAGGCTCCTGGATCATGGTTGGACCCCGGACCCACCAGGGGTCAACCCCTTGACTACACTGGAAGCGGCATTGCCCCCTACGGCACGAGTGGCGCTGCAGGCGTTTCGAGAGCAGCCTGCTGAAAGAACAGCCTTCAGCTTACCCTGTCCCGGCATATCAATGAAGCACGGACAGCAGAACTTTTGGCCGACACAATAGAGGATCGGCCCGGGAAGGACCGCGGGCATGCCATACGCCTCATCAGCCTACAAGGGGTGGGGGCGGGGGACTGGCTCCATGCCGTACCAACACGAACTGGCCTTACATTTGCCCCCGGTCAGTTCTCGTTGGCGCTCGGCTTCCGCCTAGGCATCTCCCTCCCTGTGACAGTAAAGTGCCCGTGCAAACGTGACAACTCTGACATCAAAGACACGAGCTTACCAAACCACCTTCTGCGCTGCAGGCATGGAGCTGATGCAGTCCATAGCCATAATGCGCTGGTGTACGCCCTGCTGAGGATGGCGAAGGAAGCCGACTTCACAGTCTTTCACGAGACCACCGCCTTCTCCCCCCCAGTGATCCGGAAGAGGGGTGACCTAGCGATCAGGGATAAAGAATCAAATGAGACATGGGTGACAGACGTAACAGTGACGGACCCGGCCCTACAGTGCCGTGACAAGAGGGCTCGGAAACCACCTGGGTGGGCGGCAAGGGAAGCCTCAGAGAGGAAACACAAGCTATACGAGGGGCGGCCAGATTATGTGGAGTTCTTCGGCTTGGCAGTAGAAACCATGTACAGTATGTTGAAACACAGTCACGTGCAGGGATGAATTGGAGTACCATTGCAACAAGCTCTAAGGACGTACAGAAATGTGGCCTTCTTGAGGTTGCTGATAGAATTCGGAAGTTGCTCTGGTAGGTATTTGTATTGGAGACTCCAGCAGTGTCAATGGTCACGTGGGAAAATGATTGATGTCAACAGCAGCCATCAATCAAAGTCCGCCGCCCAGTGGTTTTCAACACTCTTCTCTCAAAAACCATGATCAACACGAAGACTTGAGTCAAATCCCTCTTCGTCGCCACCCAACTCACAAGGACAAAATCATGCCGGTGGCGTCGCATGTGAGGCCGGGGGCAGTGCTGCTTTCTGGACTCGTGCCACTCCACCCATTGATGGTCTGACCCCATACCGTCTGACAATCCTGCAGGAATTGCGCTGCAGTTGGCAGTGAAGACAATAACAAAGTTCATGAGCGCCTGAACTTTCACCTTTACGTTAGAGTTTTGGACCAATCCTTTTATGCGATGTACTTCTAGTACTACTACGCGCAGCTTTCACCTTGCGTGGATTCCAGAGGCACGGCGTTAACGGGAGCGGAAAAGACGACGAGCCACCATGCCAGTGCCAGAGCTGAGCACGCCAGGCGCACGTCCATCGCCACGCCGTCCGAACTGGCCCAGCGCTTCCCTCTCACGACATCCGAAAAGAGTATTATGCTGCTAGTGGCGGCAAGGTCTAGTTTTCCGCGACTCAAATGCTTGTCCAGGAAATGGTTGATGCGTGCTCCGAAACGTGCTTAGAATAGGTGGGAGCAACCCCGAGCAGACCTTCCGTGCCTGGAGGACGGATCCTCAACTACTGCACCTCACTCGCCTCATGGGTTGCGATCCAATATGAGCTTCACATGTGCATGCCATGATGCAGCAGCACAGCGCCTGCCCGACCAGCTAGAACAGTGGAGCAACCCCAGAGCAGACTTTCCGTGCCTGCCCGGCGGGTGTTCCTCGCGCGTACCTTAACTTACTACTGTACCTCGCTCGCTCATGGGTTGCAGTGCAATCCAATACAGTAGTACGAGCTTCACAGCGCATGCCAGGTAGCAGCACTGCGCCCGCCGACCAGCTCAACCTGAATCTGTGCCGATGTCGGCGCCCGGAGGTAAAATTTTGACAAGCTGCTCACATTACGGGGACTGTAATGATGTGAGATACACACTCGGAGTGTACTCAAGGCCAAATGGGACTGTAACGATTCCCATCTTATAGGGCGTGTTACATTCAAAGTAGACTCTCGTCGCCTGTCGAACGTGTGCGTCTCTCGAGAACGCCTCCGCGACTGTTGGAAACGACGAGAGTGACTGTGAGATATGACGAACGTGGATACCCTTCGCACAGATGACGACCTCATCTGCAAAAAGTGGCCGACCCTAGGCTGACCATCCGAAAATTGCCCATCCAAAAGTTACGTCCTGACCCTACCCAAAGGTGACCTTGATCTGGATGTTCTGCGGCCTGACCTTTCCTTGCGTTTCGCTTTGGTTCTTTTATCGCCGTAAGCAGTGTGGATTTATCTACCAAATATGGTTTCGTTCCACACTGACGGGTTCAGTTCTGTCCCAGCCCCAGATGTAAAAATCGGGAGATCTTGTCTGGGGGTGCTCCTACCTGATCCGGTATCCCCGCGCTAAATTGTCAAGTAGAAACAGAATGGGGGTGCCACCACGCGACACAGCGGAAGCACTTGAATGTAGGCAGGAGTCAACGGGCATCAAACAACCGTCGACATTCTCAAATGTCCAACGGATGTCAACGGTAGAGCACGCCACGGCTTTGATATGTGCATGTTGTTCTCTTATGGGATTAATGTGTAAATCTTCACAATCATCTGCTTGTTATAAAAACTGCTACTCACAAAGTCACACGCAAGGCCTATCTTTGGATTTTAACTTCTTTGTTTAGCAGAGTAGCGTTATTAAAGATCGTGTTTAGCAGTGTAGCATTTTTTGGAAACCCTGATGGATCAGTGTAACTTCTAGTTTTGAAATTTTTGCTCAGAGGCATCAGTGTAGTAGATTCTTCCTCTACCCTGTTGTTGCAAGTGGTACATTCTTATTATTAAAACATTCAGGCATCACATTCGCGTTCATCCTTGCTACCATTTTCTGAAGACTCTACCACATTTGCCTTCCCTTTACCCTCGCACGGCCTGAATAGGGCAGGTGTTTTCGCGGGTCTTTTTTTTTTCTTCTTTTTTTTGCTTCTCCCAGATCTCCACCACCTCGCTTGTACTTGTAGTCTAACATGTTGAGGGTCATCAGCTCGGATAGACGAGCGTCGCAAAGCCACGTCTGCAACCAACTTTTAATCACGTTCTGACGGCTGAAGACACGTTTGCACTCCATGGTACTTCACGGAAGTACTGTCAGTGCCTGCCACATGAACATTAGGTTCGGGTAACTGCGCGGCTAGTCCTTGGTCTTGAGCATTTTGGCGAGCCGCTGATGAAAACCGTCGTCCTCATAATGTTGCGACATGACGAGGCATAAACTCTTGAAATTGGGCTCTGCCGCTCCAAGATCCTTGAATCGATCGTACCACACGGACGAGCGC